GAGAGCCTCAAAAGACTGGGAATGCGACTCGACTCTCACCTCTTCGACAGGTGTGTGGGATGCGATAACATCATTGCTAGCAGCTGTTGCCATTCGAGGAGCAGAAATTAGATTCCCGCAGGGATGTCTCCCTGTTCGTGTCAGAGCCTCCCCGACAGTGAACCAGCTAAGGCGCTATCCTTCCTTAGAGAAGAAAACTTCCAAACCGAGCCTTCAAGCTTGCCCTTAAAAGAAATCTTTTATCAAAGCAGCCCTATGCCGATAGTCTCTCTCTCCACCGGAGATATCGAAAGATATACTGGTGATAGATGCAGCAAGAATAAAAACCCACTTGATCACACCAGATTTCACCATTGAATCTCAGTTTGATTCTAGTTGCGGTGTTGCGTTTTCTTTTCCTGGGTTGATTTGATTGCAGTGCTCTCCTCTCTTCTCTTCTCTTCTCTTCTTCGTGTATGTTTTTATTTTTGTCAAAATTGAAAAATGTGACTTGGACCACACTCGCTTCCCATGTGCACAGTCTTAGAGCACGGCCTGTGTCTTGTGTGTGTACATCCAACACGTCTCTTTGGTTGCCCTGGATTACACTAATGTATTCACAATTAATTTTTCTCATACATTACTTTTCCATGCTTCTTCTGCATAGCCTTTCATGTCTGAAAGCTTACCACTGTGCTGCAACTCACCAGCAGAGAAACACTTGTCTAGCATCTAATTTCACTGCATATATAAATAATATTTGCACTTAAAAACAGCACATAGATTGCTAACAAAACTCTTACTAGAGTCAATCAAGACAGGGTAATATGCATTGACTGGAAAATTGTTAATGGAGAACTTACACATAAAATTGCTGACGAAATTAAACTACTTCTAGACCAATAAATCTAATTGAAATGATAATTAGAACTAAACTAAAGGATCATCAGCAAACAATAGGGTTTTAGAGGGATTTAAAGAAGGCACATCTTGCTTAACTAACTCGTTAGAATTTATTGAACTGAAGTGAAAGTAGTAAGGGATACAAAGATGCATATCTATGCATCCATTTTTTATCACTTTAGGCAATTTACACAAAGGGGTTTGGGAGTCTGGAAGAAGATAGCCAGCCTGTGTTGTCAAAACTGATACCCTGGTATCCTTCACAAAAAGTCTGGATGGCATCCTCAAATCAATTAGCTTCAAGAAATCCAACAACCTTAATGGGCTGAATGACCTCCTATCATTGTAACCTTTTTTATGTTCTTGAGATAAAACGTATTTAAAAATTAATTGACTCTGAGTAGCTTCTGCAATGTGGCATGGTGTGGTTTCAAGAAAGTGTGTTCACTGAAAAAACTGGGAGGAGATCAGTGTTGTTCAACATAGCTTAACAGGGCTTCACAGCTGAATTTATATTTTATGCACTTTAAGCATTTTTCAAAGAGAAGAGAAGACGGAGTGATTTATTCATTATTGGCAGTTCAAGTGCCTTTGGAGAAGCAGTTCTGACAGCTTCCCTTGATAAATAATGTGTTCAGGCTAATGTAGCCAGGAATCTCTCAGAGTGGAACAGGACTATTATCTTCAACAAATTATCATGGCCATATTGTTTGAACTGACACTTTTGCTGCCTCAGAATCAAGTAAAAATACATCAGTTTACTGGGATTCTTTTTACAGCAAGATGTACAGTAGGACTGTTATCACATACATAAGCATTTTTTGACACACATAAACATCATTCCCCCTTGTTCATTCTCTTTAAAGGTATGATTATACTAGGATTGGCATATTTTTGTTCTTTGTTTGTGTAAATCCCTAAACTATACTGTATACCTCTGAGACAACCTCCATTGAATAAGGGACTGCAAAGTGTTTAAGAACATAACATAAGTTCCAAGTGAGTTTGGTAGGTAGTTGTTAACTGATCCACTCATTTCTTAAAAGAAACCAGGGTACTGGCTTCAACAACACATCTACTGTAGGTAACTCTCCCCACACTCTGAGGTTTATTGCTTTGACATCTGGACCCTGCTGCAGCCATGAAAGACAGTAGAAGAGCACTGTCTCAATCTGTCATTTCAACACATTTGCAAATATTCTGAGCATTTACATCTGTTTGTATATATACAGTATGTGGATATATTTATAAAGCAAAAAAGGAATATTAGATTATGTTCTGGGTAACATTGTAAATGATCACACTTTAGTTTAACTCTCTGTTATAATGATCTATTAATACATTTTTAACGATCTATTCACAAAATTCTAAACATCCATTCACCTATTTTCTAACAAGTTCATCCAATTCCGAATCACAGGAGAGCTGGAACCTATCCCGGCAAGCAACAGGTGCAAGGAAGGGTACACCCCAGCAGATAGTACTGTTGTAACAAACAAATAAGTTCTGGACCCTGAGATGAAGCTAAACTCCATTTCCATTATTAATGCCAGGAACAGGTGTAATAAATAAACCTTTTAAAACCAAACCAAACATTTTAATCCAAAGTTAAAAGTCATACGATTTATTCCTGTTACACGTCAATTAATGTTATTTCTTTTCAGCAATACTATGTCCCTTAACTAGACAGCATTCTGTGGCATGCTCTACTCTTATTCTCAATGATAGCTTAGCAGTTTCCGCAGGCTCACCTACTGGACAGTATACGATACCACCACCACGGACAGAGAAAAATAACCAATAGGTGTTCTTCAGCCTTAGCTGTATTAGTCCAGGTTCAGGGAAAAACACAAAACGTAACCGAATCCTCATGATTTTGGAACTAGAAGAAACTTGATACTCCGGTGACTTCGATCAGGACTCCTATCCTTGTTTCATATGACCGCAGGCACTGGCCTTCATCCGTGGCGCTAAATTCCTTTTTCTCTAGGAGTCCGCCCTGGCTGAGAATCACTCTGCTTCCCCGGCCAAAGGTCCCGGGTGGCATATGAAACGTTTCGCCCTCGGGTCGCGTTTTCAATTTCCAGTCCTTGAAAGTGGAATGCTTGTGCGCTTCTGTCACGCAAATATGTCTGCCATCAAGTGTTCTTTGGCACTCCATTACAGAATCTCATCATCTTCGAAACTGGACTGATTTGAAGACAGAAGCAGGTTTTCAGCACACACTTAGAATCACGGTGTAAGAAGGGACGCAGAAAGGAGAGTCCTGTATTAGCCTACCATTTGATGATCATATGATATGCAGGAAAGCAGGATACTGTATGTAGGGTAGAAAGGAACATCTAGGGTACAATGAGTGGTTAACTGAAGGTAACCTGACTAACGGCACTCACATTCTTTCAAATGTACTGTACAATTATTACAGGATTAATACTGTATGTGCTTAGAGTTCATACATAAAATTGATGGATAACTTTTCAATCAAACTTGAAATTACGGCCTCTGAACCATTCTGCTGTGTTTGGTGATATCTTTACCATATTTTAAAACTGACAAAAGATGTGTTTTAATTAAAACAAATTTTTGGTTCATTAAAAATGATAAAAGATGTTGTGGGAAACATCAGAACATTCACAACCATGAGACAAAATGGTTAAAAAGGGAATTTGATGATTTTTCAAATGTCTTTCAACAACACAATTAAAAACAGGAACACTTGTGTTACCATTCATTAACTTCAATATAAATAAGTTCAATCTTGGTGCACCTAAAATTTGTCCTGTCAGGGGTAATCTAACCTGCTTTAAGGGTTTGTAACAGCTTATCAGAATTTATGTATAATTCTTGTATTTTCTCTTTTTCTCATATTTAAAGAAATTGTATATGTTAAGCCAAAGGAGAAGTCAATTACAATTAACCCCCAACAGAAATCATTGTAACTGATCACTGTATCCAGATTCTCCAACTCCCTGGCAAGAGACTCACCGAGCAAGAAAGAAATAAGTAGAACTTATAGGTCACATGACAGGAAGATTTAAATGGAAAAGGCTTTTTAATGGTAGTCATTATAAGATTAGAAGGGGAAATAAACATATGTTTAGTGAGGATACAAGTACAATATGGCCCCAAAAGAGCACTCAGCAGGATGAATTTGAAATGTGCCATCTGCACTGTCAGATGAGATTTAGCAAATGCATAAAGAGTGGTGGGTTGAGAGAACTGGACAAAAAGAAAAGTTGTTGTTTTATTGAGCAGAGTAGACATCTATCCATTATCAGAAACCCAACATCTGAAGCCTTTCACCCTGGATAAGATGCCAGTCAACTGCAGGTCATGCACACAGACATCTACAGGCAAAATGTAAAGCAGCCAATTAACCTAGGCACAAGTCTTTGGAAGACAAGAAGATCATTAGGAAAAAAAAACACACGAGCATGGGGTGAGCATGTAAACTCCACTGAGGCCTCAGTGCTAAACACTGACCTGCTCCTAGACACAAGTTTGTAACCCTTTAATATTACTGTTATTCTTGCTACAATGTGGGGTGGCAGCATTGCTTTGAGTAATGCCTATGTTGAATTGGCATCCTATCTGAGAGGAGAGTCAAACTCAAGGAGAGTTTTTTTCTAGAACCCAAAACCATACTATCTTGCACTTTTCACTTAGACGCAGCATCTTAGCCATCTGAACAATAAAAAAGAATCAAGCACGTGGAAAACAATAAAACATTTTTGAAGGCTGAACTCCCCTAGTATCAATCATGCTGCAGGGGACCTTCCTTCAACTGTCCTGTGGAAGAGATCCTGCAGAATCTCTTCTTTCAGACCCATAATGTCAGATAGGGAGTTACAGTACAGTATTTTACTTGCGGTACCACGTGGTATTATGAGGTACTATGTGAGAATTTACGGTAACTCGCGGTAGGCTGCTTCAAGCGCACCGCAAAATAATGCGGTATCGCCCGCTTGTTTTGAATGGCTGCATCTGTATATTTGCAGGAATGCACCAGGTTTTATATTTTGAGAATGTGCATTAATAAAGTTCAGATGTACCAGTGCTGCATGTCAAAAACAGAATACAGCACTGATAAACACATCACAAGGTGGCAGGCACCCTACCTTCAGCACATCATCATCTGAGGACCTGCAGTCAGCGAAGTCAGACACGTCTGTCGCTGAGCTGTCTTCTTCCACGGCCACAACTCTGACTGGAACCATCACCTTCTTCCCCGTTAGCACTGCTGTGTTCAGGATCTCTGTGTCCTGTGGAAGATGACAGGGCCAGACACGCCTCAGCACACATAAGATGATCCTCACTTCAGTTGTCTTTCTGTCATATGTCCAAAACTCTTTGTGCAAAACTGTGGATATGCTTTGTTCTCGATCTGTTCTCCAAAGCCCATTTCTTTGTCACTACCGTTAATGATACACTAAGTGCTCTATGCACACCATTCCATTCCTCTGTTCTCTAGATCTGAACACGTTTCAATCAAAGCGCTTCCAAGACACTCATTGTTTGAAACATTTGTTCACGAAGGAATATGTTCCTTTTATTGCTACATGTATATATGAAAGATATGGTAAAAAAATCTCTCAGCTCATAGCTTCTACTGATCAGTAGTACAAAAGATACACATGGAAAAGTAATATAATCTTGGAATACTTTCAACATTAGCCTTTTAACCCTTAAATATAGGCGGCTCTTATATTTTGTAATATCTGACAATGGCAATTATGCTGTATTAACTCATTGCAGAGGCATATTATTACTGCTAGGAAGGCAGTTGCTACAAGCACTAAGTCCTTCTGGAAGGTTTAAGAGTTTTTTAAGGATAATCTCCCATTTCATTTTGCCACTCAGAGAAAAAACATTTATAGGCAAGTCAAGTGATATTTTCCTTTTACTTCCAAAAACACGACATGATTTGTTTTTTTTATAATTCTAATTTAATCTTCAATTAAGGGAGCTGATGCATATATACTTTTATTTTCTCTGTGTTATTTGTTATTGATTTGGAAGAGGCTAGAAGGCAACAGTTTATTTTATAATATTATAAAGCTGATCTGTCCCCAATACAATTCTGCCTGCAAAGGTCACTATCGCAAAGTTACCTTCAGGGCAGTTTTGCCTTGGATACGGTTTCAATTCCAAACTTGTGGCATTTACAAAAATTCTCTTATATAATTCATTGGGCATCACTGTTTAAAAAGAATGTGTTCTCTTTTAAGCCCTTTTTGGCTGTGCCATTTAAACCACTTTCCCCTTAATGGGGACACTGCTGTTGAATGTCTGGGAATGATGGTCATTATGCACAAACCTTGATTGAATTCCATTTGTTATGTGTATTTGACCTGATTGCCCCAGCAAACCCAGCTACATAAAGTGGTACCAATATTTACAGTACATGCAAAAAATAGGTAATTTATGATAAGCTAATGGATGTTAGCTGCTTTAGATAAAAGTCTCAGTGAAATAAATAAATACATGAAAAATACTATTCCATTATCTGAAAATAATTTATTCCTGCTGAAGATGTATTGATGGTATTTTATCCCACAAGAGGAGATCACAAGGAGGGCCTACTCCCTGGACAGACTACAGCCCACTGCAGGGCATAGAGCACATTAATAAATGGCATGCTAACCAAACATGTTAGCATGGAAGGAAACAGGAGAACCTTGATAAAAAAAAACACAAACTCAGGGAGAACATGCAAACTTTACACAGAAGGTGTCCCAGTCCAGAATCAAACCCAAGACCCCAAGGCAATCAGACAGCAGGGCTAACTCACTAATAATAAGTTGCCGCCCACGAATAATAAAAATAAAACACCTGGATCTACTTTAAGAGCTTATTATTTTTGCCTCCAGTCATCTCTGGGGCCATACGCAAGCCATCAACATGCTGAAAGGCAACAGCAAAAATGCACTGCAAAAAGAAACAAGAGAGTGCCAACTTAGGATATGTCCAGTTATTGGTTTGATCATAAAAACATATGAACGATGTAGTGTATTGCACACATGCTGTGTATATATTTTTTTTTTTATTTGAAGCACACTAAATAAATCCTATGTGGAAAGACAATGATAAACTGTAATAGGCTACATTTTAAAAAATCCCTGAGAGCACAAATTAAAATAACTGAAAAGGAGTTGTGTAAGTGAGTTCTTTTAATAACTGATCTATTTTTTTTCCCTTACAACTGCTTCGGGGCTGAGAACATGTAAATAGCAGCAATCACTAAATCAATTAGGTTCAATGTCTGTTGCAGCAGCTACAGTGGATTGGAACGAGCCCTTTGGGATGCCAGCTGAGGAAGTTTGGATTACAAAGATGGTTAGAAACAGTACAGCAACATCAACAGAATCATTTAATTAGCTTAATTTCCAACTGGGGTAAGCTAATCGCTTAATCAATTAACTGGGTATGTTATATTTAAAAAAAATATTTTTCAAGTAGAACTGCCCTAAGGCATCAAGAAAACCCTAATTAAATGTGACTGGATTGTTTCTTATATTGCCTTACAGCACTTACAATGCTTCAGTGCACGAAGGACTTGATTCATTAGGATCCCCCAGTTTGTGGAAGTGGGTTCAAGATCAAATAAAACTAAAATCAACACGGATGTCAGCAGCAGCAGTGGAGTTGCCCAGTGCTTATGTGAAGCACTGACCACCTCATTGTTTTGAAGTTTATCATGTTTAAAAGGGACACATGAACAAACTTTTTTTTCTTTAAAGCTCTTTGGCCCTATTCCATGTGTTAATAATAATAATAATACTAATAATAATAATAATAATAATAATAATAATAATAATAATAATAATAATAATTTAATGCTTTTTTATTTTCATTGTCTCTGTGAGGGGAAGCTGCCATGCACTGTCACAGTGTAAAAGGTTATTTTTTATGACCTCAGTAACGACTCTGAGTAAAGTCTCAAAACTGCAACATGCATGCTGCCCCCAAACAATATATTTAAAATAAAGATAAACTTTTCAAAGATTTTACCCAGTTGAAGCACCAACAAGTTTAACTTGTACCAGAAAACACATATTACCAGTGTTTTTGCAGGTGACATTTACCAGACTAGATTTACCAGAAATTATTCTGTTCTTGTCAATTTGCCTGCATTTTCTCACAAAATAACATATGGCCCTTCTTTAGTAAGGACAAATCATAAAATAAGAAGATATGAATGATAAAAGTGTGATCAGATCCCAACTCAGTTGTAGGTAGTCCACATCTAAACTTTCTATTCAAAGTTATGTGTGTACACAAGCAAAATTGTGTATCACATTTTTAATTCTTATAAATAATAAATGTATTTTATCATGAGCCTGTCACAGGTAAACAACAGACACAGGTAAACAATATAACCCACACCTGAAGAAGGCTCCACATCCAAAACATCGTGTTTTCTTTTTTCTCTTATCAACATGGAATAAACCTATTACTTGTTCCTTTGCAGCCTGCATGCTAATGCAGCTACTCACCTGAACTATTATAGACCCTCTATGCCCTTATGAAAAAAAAACAAGATAGCCTATACAGAAATACATGAGCATACAGTCAACAATGAAAAAGCACTTTACTATAATTTAAGGATAACATACTGTAATACCATGATGTTACAAATATATAACAGTATGATGCAGTACCCTAAAACTATTCTGAAATATATTTGACTAAAGCAGCTTGGGTGTTTAAACAGATTATAAAGCTTTTTAATCAACATTTGTGTACTATTTCTTTTCATTAAATATAAATAATTAGAAAAAAAGTCAAAATGCACGCTGGAGAGATATTTTTTAGATATTAAAACTAGGTATAAACTGTTTCAGGATTGGATCAGCTGCACAGCCATGTACTGTAGCTGCTTTAAATTCAAAATACAAAAGGATTTAATCTATGCTAACATCCCTTAAGGCTTGTTAAGAATTTACTGTTCATCAAAATAACTGCCAGCTGAAACTGTTTTTGTCCCTAAGAAGTCACAGAATGTTCCACATATTTTTTCCAAAATGGGATTTCATGAAGTACCTTTAAAAGCTGCATCTCCATGCCAGGATCCATAGAATGTGGAAAAAATGTCAATTAACTGATCTGAGCAGCAATTTGGAATTTAAGAAGTAATACAATGGCTGTCGGGAGCTGTTTTTTCTTCAAACAATTCAAAGTAAATCGAATGTGTACAGATGTAATCTTCATTTACCATTTGCCATATATAAATCAGGCAGTAGTGCCATTTATTGGCAGTATTAGGGAGAGGAAACACGAATCAATGTGTTCTTGTCCACACAAGCCTCCCACAAAGGCTTAAACACTGACCCATAACTGGCAGTCCTTTTACATTACAGAGTAGTTGTAGTAACTGTGTATAGAAATACAAATGCTTCTTGATGAAAAATCAAAAATTAAAAAAGGCCCTGTTGCCATTCATGAACTCTTTTGCTATTGTTATTGTTCCTACATAGCTTTTTCTAACCCAAGAGTAAAAGACCTATTCCTGTCTGACCTTTTTCGAGCACAAAGTAATAAGCTGGAAGCATTTCTGGCAGACCTTCATGCTGTGTCATCGCATGGCAGAAATTGATTGATAAAATCGTTTGAATATCTTTATCCCCGGTTATTGTGATGCAAATGTGGAACAATCAATTTGTTGGCAGAGCAAAATAAATATCTAATTGATGTTCCTCTGCTCAAAGCAGCTTTCGAACACATTCTCTCAGGTCCTCTCGGAAGAACTTCGAAATGAAAGTCTTTCATTTGCACAAAGGGATAATCTAAGATCCTGGACAGAAAAAAAGATGGATTTCGAAAAACTGAGAGCTAATGCAGATCCAATCCAAGCCAGCTATTCCAAAGTCAAATGTGGTCCAATGAGTTTATTGTCATGGCACCTAGAAGCTGAGCCAGTGAAAATGACACATTGATTTTGAGGGGGAATGGAAGGCAATGAGGCAGAGGAAACTGCACTGGTATCGATGAGAATTAGCCAGGAGACAGTTTTAATTACACTTCGCCCATTAGATACCTGATAATTGGAGTCTTTCAATATAACAAATGGAGACAAAGAAACTGCTCTGACCTACCAGCATACCCAAAACTGAGGAAGGCCCATATTCTTCTTTCATTAATGTGAGACATTATAACCATGTACATCAAAATGTCTGGAAAACATTAAAAATGTATTTGATGTCTCCATAAAAGCTACTTAATTGAATGGCCATTTGCCAAGCATTTGTTAAACTGTCTTTTGATATTTGCTGCACAGCATACATTTTCAGTAGTGAGCAGGAAGCACCTCTTCCTGGTTCCCTGCATAGTGTCACTGCCTGAATGGTTATCACAAAACTCAATTTATTTAAATAAAGAGTTTGGTGTCACAGCAGTTTAACATTCAATCTTAATTTGACAGGTAGAGCAGGATCTTTCTTCGTCTGGGTTTGATGAGATTGTAGTCACACCGAGAGCCGATCAGTGAAGTGTGGTCAGGGATTGAAAGGGTGGGATTTCTGTAGTGGTTTGCTGCAATTTAATATAAACTAATCAAGGAATTTTATTGCTGATTTCATAACTGACTGAGCAGAGATTAAATCACAACACAGCTGCCAGGGCTCCTGACTGGCCCATCCAGCATACGCGCTCATTACAACTGCAGGTTCAGCTCTGTGACCCAGATGTTCCCAGCTGGAGCCTAGATCATGCCACCAGGAGACTGGAACAATTATTCACCAAGCAGAGGTGCACAGTAGGGTAGGGGGGGGATTATATTATAGAAAATGTAATATTTTATATTATGTTATAGAAAATGGTGCGAGTGCCTTGAAGCCTAGTCAGTGTAGAAATTCCCCTGCAGCAGAAGAGGTGTAGTGCAGCAGAGCTTACCAGTGTCGGGGGCAGTGGCTCCCAGTTCTGTTAATAGTGATCCACACACTTGCTGGTTTTCATTCCATCCCTCCTCAAATTAGATAATTGAAGCCTTAATTGATCTAATCTTCATTTGAATATTTGTACGCAGTTTTCGATCACAAGTTAGTAATTTTATTTCACTGACACAATACAATGATTAAAGCACCAACAAGCTTAAGAGCTGGGAAAAAACTAATCTTGTTCTAATGAAGTCAATGAAGGGTACGATTGTGGAACTGAGGGCTTGGCTGGAACAAAGACCAACAACTGGTCTGTGGATCGGCAGGACCAGGACTGGGAACCATTGGTCTAGGGACTGGCTCTGTGTGTCACCTGATCCCTCAAAGGACGGTGGCACTCGAAGGTTTACTGTGACATCAGAGAGAGATGCACGAGAGTGTCTGAGGTATGTTAAAAGACGAAAGAGTCTGAAGAGTGAGCGGGTTAAAGGAGCATGTCTGCCCTTCCCCATTCTTCCCACAAGGGAACACAAATCCTTCAAGATCGGATGTAAATAAACTGTTTTTTTAAAAAGAAAAATAGGCTTTTCCAAATTAGGGGGAGAGGGGGTGTAATGGAAAATAAATCAGTATCTAACTGACAATTCAGACTGCTTCTATGAAAGCTTCTTTTACAGCATATATTTTTCATATCTTAAAGTACTGGATGTGACAGCAGTCTGTTATTGAACAACAAACCCGTATGGTAATTACAAAGAAAGCTTTCCTCCAAGTCTACTGAAATGTTTTCAAACCTCTGTAAACACAGCATATCAAATTTCTATAACACTGTGGCTCTAGAGTGCAATAAATTTAATGATTATGCAAAATCAGTGGCGAAAAAAATTAACATTTTGATGTAGAAAAGTAGCTCTTTAGATAATGAGCAAATTACTTTTTTTTCCCGAGATTGATTAGCAAATGCAATGGTTATGCAAATTCTCTAATGTATATGAATGGCTTATCATTTTCAGAACTGATTGGAAATGCCTCAAGGCTTACAAGCAAATCACCATGCTAACACGGGAATTAATCTTCAAGAGATCTGAAAGGAATATAAATACACAAAAAGGTCTCCAAATTGTCCTCTGCACTGTTGCCTCCAAAACAGTCTTTATGATCAAGGTCATTCAGGATGAAGGCATGTGTTGTCAGTTGTGAAGTTATTGTCTTTTGCATATCGGAAAGAATGCATACTGTATGCACTCATCCAAAGCACTCGAAGAATTACAGTATGTAAGTATATGTAGTATAACAGGGCTAGTTTAGATGAAGTGAACACTTAAGATAAACCACATTTTAATTATTTTTCCCTGCAAATGCTACAATTGATGCATCATCTTATTAGCTAACAAAACGGGATTTTCAATACAGACCCTGTTTCCCATTAATGGTAGATCTGTTCTCATAACAAACTGGAATATTTACTGTATAACCTCATTTAATGCCTATAGGGATAAAGTCGGTGCTGTCCTGGCATAATGCAGTGATGGTGTCAGTGGTTGGAGCTAAAAAAACAAAATGTTATTGTTAAGTGGTTTTGTTATAGAAACTATGACAAAAGCCAAAAACCGTCAAAAAGCAGAACCAATTCTGGATATTTGTCTGAGTCAAATGAAAGCAAATTTAGAATTAAAATAAATTGTCCTGTATTGGATAATGATAATTAAATCAAGGGAAGTAAATGTACATCATAAACACCTTGAGAACAATTACTGCTGTTTTTTAAGTAAAAAAGTTGAAAGACATCACAGACTATCATGTCCATGACTGTCTATAGATATGCAAAGGAACAAGTAATAGGTTTATTCCATGCTGAAAAAAAGAAGAAAGAAAACACAATGTTTCGGCTGTGGAGCCTTCTTCAGGTGTCTGAAGAACACCTGAAGAAGGCCCCACGGCCAAAATGTTGTGTTTTCTTTCTTTCTTTCTTTCTTTCTTTCAGTATGGAATAAACCTATTACTTGTTCCTTTGCAGCCTACGCATGCTGACGCAGCTACCCACCATTTCTATAGATATGACATTTAATAAACTTGGAGTTCACCTACAGTAGAGTAGTTACAGTACAATGAAGGAAGGTAGTAATCCCTTCATTTAAAAATATAAGCTCCACAGTAGGAATTGGTAAGTTAACCTGGAGACAAAAATTGCTGATTTTATCTACAAAATGGACAGACTTGCAATAACCTGACATAAAGTGAAGGGCACATTGAGACAATACTTTATCTGTGTCAAAGGAAATATATATAATAATAAACTAGTGCATGCTGATAGCTCAAGTTACCTTTCAATAAGCAAAAAATGTCAAAACTTTTTGTTGTAATACCACCAAATGGAGTAAAACATCATGCAACTTGCTTCACATGATGAGGATGTTTTAAAGGAATTAATTATACCAAGTACTGTACAGTAAACACAACAACAATATAGACAAGATTCAAGCGATCCACAATTAAAAGTTAATTGACTGTTTTGGTAACTGCTAAAATAGGCAACAAAAGCTCTGCAAAACCAAAAATTACTGAAATACCAAAAACCTTATGAAATATTTTTTAAGTTTCAGTCTTAACATTAAAAATATCTCAAATATTTATCTCTCTGAAAACATTTTCTGAGCAAATCTGGCAGGCTCTGGGTGCTCAACTCCAGCCATGGAAAATGAAGGTTTTGTTTTTCCACCTGAACCCTTAGTTACCTCATTGAACGCATTTGCTTAATTGGAGAGGCTGAAGTTTTTTCTTGTTCTTAAGAAGCAAGAGGTTTACAGAGACCTACAAATCCCACTTGAGAGCTGTATCAACCTGTGGTAGGCTGTCCTCTTTATTGAAAACTTTCTCTGTTCTTTCAAGCCTAAGCTTGTTTTTCTAAAAACAGGACAAAGACACAAGTTAAAGATCTCTATAACTACACTATAATAATGCAGAATCTGGTCGGCTCTCTATGTTCCTTGCCATGCAGCAAGCCTTATCTAGACTAGAGCAATGCTTCCCAGTCCTGGATCTAACAGACCTCTCGTTTTTTTTGGTTTTATTGCAACACAGCTCTCATCTTTATTCGTGAATTAATTATTGGCTCAATTAGACCTGTTGAGTTATTTTTCATTCTCTAACTGGCCGAGATAATTCAGAAGAAGTTAAGTAGCTTAACAGATAGCTCAGCTGGAGGAAAAACCAAAAGCAACATGGATCCTTCAGGACCAGAATTAGGAATCCTATGGCCTAGAGGAAAATCAGGTTTATTCTGTTTATTTGCGTATTCATTTTCAATTAATTTTCCTCCTCAAATGTTTCATCACGCCTGCTTGAAATGTGTTCTGATGGACAACAGCGCTTGTCAAAATGCCAAGTCATGAGTATCTGGAACCATGGTCTTCTTTCTGAATGTTTGTTTCTTACCATGACGAGGGGAGCCAGTCCTACAAAGTCCCTCCGAGTGGTGTAGATTGGCATCACCCCTTCATCTACGGGCTTTGCTGATCCAGGGTACTCCAGCTGCCATGTCACCCCCTGGCTCTCTGCATGGCCGCTCAGTTCTTCAGCTTCAAAGTCCAGCTGCAGGATCTCCACCAGACTGTCCTCAGGCCTGAGGAGGAAACCACAGACCAAACAGGTCAAAAACACAACGGCAGGAACTACTTGAAAGTGAAACTCAGAGCACTGGGAATACTTAATTCTTCACTTTGTGAAGAGTCACATGAAAGTTTCCCTACACAAGCCAAACTCACTCTCTTATTGTCAGGTAGATGAACCTGTAAAGACAGGAAACAGAGCAGTGGAGGCCCACAAAGAAATATGGGCTTTGTGTCCAGGAACCTCTCATGCTTTGGTTAGCATTTCATATCGGAAGATATTATAATGGAGAAGTCTAACTACATTACAAGTTTCAGAATAAGAAAAAATCTGGATTTTGCCAAGCACCTTTAATAATGTTTGCTATGTGAAAGATTCTGAAAAATCTATCAAAATTCCTTCTGTACAATGCCTGCCTGCAAGTACTATGAATGAACGGAATTAGTCTGGGAATGGAACATTTTTTCTTGGCACAATTTAACTCAAGTAGGTCAGGTCAAATCAGGGGGTGGTGAAATGGCCTTGTCATTTTTGACTTAAGGTGTTAAGGGAGACAGTTCTCCAGGGCTATCCTGCCAAGTCCACCTATTTACCCACTGCAGAAAAGATGACACAAAAGCAGAAAGTCATTGCAAAGAGAATTGCAGGAGCATTTGGTATAGCAGTAAAGTAATGGCCAAGCAATTTACCTTGAAAGGCCCCATGTCTGAATTTATTTAGTATAATCCTAAACCTTCTTTTTCTACCTGAGACATAATGCAACTGCAGAGCAATTTTTTCCATCCTTGTCAATAAAACAGTCATCTGAAACTACAATTTTTGTTGGGGGGGGGGGAGATACTTACAAAACTGCTGTTTTATACAGTAGGAAGATATTTTTCACATTATAGCATTATCCCTGAAGACGTAGCAACAACCTTGAATATGACAGACAAAAAAAAGGTATGTTTCCAAAAGCAAATTCTTGAAGGACTTGTGGAGTTAGACTTGGGTGTCTGTCTTTAAAACCTGAAGAGAGCTTGCTGGAGGCTCCCCTGAGGAAAACCAAATAACCTTCATTTCATATCAAATGCTAACAAATATATATCCTGGTCCCCAAGGGAAGTTTAATATCAGGACAGGTAGTGTGTAGGATAAAAAGCAATGGTAGACTGCAATTCTTCATTTTTTTTGGTATTCACATTACTTAAGCAAAACATGTAGAATGAACTGGCAAAACTAAAGGATCCATAACTTTCTTCCTTAGATATCCATAACTTATAATTTACCATATATATATTAAGTAAATCAACAGATGACAAAAGCCTGAAGTTGAGGGTAAGTAAGCACAAGCTGAATTAACAATATACACAGTATTTACCGATTAGTAATCCTGTAATGGACTGACGTTATTCAGGTTGTAACCTGTGTTGCGCTATTGTCTGCTAGGTTCAGCTCTGGTCCTCCACAATGCCGTTTTGGACTAAGTGGTTATTGGAAATGGATGGAAGATTGAGTAATTTAGCTGCTGTCAGTGTATTGTTGTTCCTCTTTCTCAATGTGTATTAAACAAACCACAGATGGCACAATGTAGAAAAGGGATATAACTGACACTGATTAACTTTACTGTCTTACATTTAATACACCCAGTCACACAACCACATCTACATGTTTGTATATGTAGTATAACAGTAAACTAATAATATGAATTTGTGCCTAAATGTCACCAATGTACAACACAAATTATTGTCACTAACATTTCCATATAATGATTTTCTTAGATGTACAATAACACAGTACTTGTTGTTGTTCTCTTGAACAGTCCAGAAGAAAGCTCCACAGTTTCACCTCACTATCCCATTAGTGCAAGAGGCTCATTTCCATTCTGTAACAAAGCCAGAAGATAAAGCATTGCATCCTGCAAGCTTCTTGTTTTTCCCAAGAGACTCTGCACAAAAGCCAGGAGATGAATGGTTTGTCTAAACTTGTCTTCTGGCCTACTTTTAAGAGCTGAATAAAACTAAAATTCAAAATAGTATGATTTGACTACATGAAAGAAAAGCAAAAGAGGAAATATTGATCTGAAAAAACACATAGCAAAGACCACCTCCTGAAGAATATTAGAAGGGATACTCTGAGAGAAATGTTTAATTTATACTTGTACATGATAACTGTATGCAGTCACTTTAGATCTCAATTTCCAGGGAGATAAAATGTATCAGAAGGAATCAGTGTTGACCATTGCAGGCAGAGAAAGAGATTATTCTATTTAATCACCTTTGCAAATTACCGAAAATCGATTCTGCAATAAGTATCCAAAGAGAACATCAAAAGGAAAGAAAGCTTGGATTGGGCAATGACACAGGAAAGATCCCCAAGGGTATAGACATTCTGACAGACTCCTGTCTTCACACAAGTCACACAAATTGTACATGTATGAAAAGTCATGTTTATTTGAATTCATTCCTTAATCAATTTTTGTCTGCTACAGCCAAAGGATTTTCTAAAAATTCCAGGATCACCCTATCGATTTTATGATCATTTAACAAATCCAAGGACCATGTAGAAAGTGTTGCCTACATCTTCATCATTTGGCTCATCAATTAAAGACATTTAACTATATATTTCCTTAACATGTGGTATAAGAATAGAGATTTACTTTTTTTCTTTAGATTGCACACACTTTAATGTTTAACTAATACATTTGTAATGGAGCTTCATTTTTATAATTTAAGCATACCTACTATAGTTCTTTATGACTGTTAAATCAGCACCAGATAAATAATAAACAGCAAACTCATAACATTTTTTATAAAAAATGTTATTTACTGTAGTATTCATTGTCAATTATGAGGCACATGCTACCCATTTACCCCTGACTATGTATAGCTTCTCAAGTTTTCACTACCAATGGAAGTCTTACATTTCTATAACAAATTACTGTATTATAGCAATACCAAATACTTTTCCCCAAATAGTTTGTATATGTAATAATGAATGCTTAAGGAGTATAATAGCAGACAGGTGCTCACCATTAGTCCCTAAGCCTGCAATTTTAAAAATTACAGCATATGCAAATGACTGTAGATGAAGGGGAACTGGCACACAACAGTTTATTTAATTAATTCTGACCCAGCTGTAGATTACAGATTACAGGCTCTTTTCCCTTTACACCTTAGTTTGTCATTTAATGCCCTAATAAGAAGCAGAGCTAGAACTGTGTGTCCTTGGAGTAGGTTCTAATGATTTTTTTACCAGTGTCAGAGGACAGAGCTAAACCGAAACAGACTGTAGGTTCAGCTTCTAATTGTTTTAATTAAAAGAAGTATCATCAATATTTTTTGTCCTTTTCATTCAAACTGTAGCCTCAGGAATATACTGTACGTTCAATTCTCACATCTGGACTTTACAATCCCCAGTGCTAATCAAAACACCTGAGTAAACAGATAATCTGCATGAGATAAAGTCATCAATGATGCTGATTAGGGTGAGATCCGAGCAGTGTCGATTTTACTGAAAATGAATATGAGTAATTGACAATAGAGGTTTTTTATTTAGAAGCAATAATCATGTACATAAAATATAAATCTCTCCAAATATATTAAACGATATTTTGGACACGTAGAATCATTTTCTTTTTCATAGGGATCAAAGGTTTTTTTGCCATTCGTGCTACTTGGATAATATTTTTTTTTCCTGATTCTTTGGTGTATGACCAGTAACAACTGCCAAAAAAAAGTATAAAAACAAAAGAAATATTTGACTTCATGATTTCCAGAAAATTGATATATTTGTTTTAGTGCAATCAGTGCATGTTTACACGTTTAAACAGAAGCAAACTTTCATAAAAAGGTTAGACAGATCAGAATTCGACGTCTTTGAAAACACACATACCGCAGCTTTTATTTCCTGCTTAATGAGCATTACACAGATTCATCAAAGGACAGAGCTCACAGTAAGGTTTGTTCCATTGTTAATTGCATCCAGTGCTTTACCAATTTAATTTATCACATACTGTAATTCAAGGTATGGCAAAAGTATACTGAAATGGTTTCACAAACTATCGGTAGTCTTTGCCTTCTGTGATTATAATTTATAACTTCAAGTCTCAGCTACTGCATGTCCAGAAATAGATTCTTCAGACTTTGAAAAGGATCTGCACACTGTAACAGGATTTCAGTGGGATTTCCAACACTCACAGAGTTCGGAGGATCAGTTCCCAGAAGTATCATTCCCAATTACAGCAAAGCTCAATCACACTTGTTCAGTTATAACCACAGAACAGGATGTAAGCTCTGATCATTTGGAAGAGAGGGCCGAATCAAAACATATGTAAGATAACACTAAACATGTTCAACAAATGTTTTTGTTACCAAACAAATAAGTGTAGACCACCTATAAAGAATGTAAGTATCGTTATGGAAAGCTCCAATCCTAAAGGTTTTAGAGGTAACCACACTAAAACATAATTTTGTAAAGCACTGGAACATCTCATTTAATCTCATTTAATTCGAATTTATCAATTTAATAAATAACACTGAAAAGTATAACTTGAAAAGCCACACTTTAAAAGGTTTGTTGGTACTTACTGTCCATAAATACAAATAAAGTCCTGTTGGGGTGCACTAAAATAAGAGCACAATAAATTTTCTTTCAATGAAATTTATTAATCAAAATGTACGACAACGCTGTGTGTAAAGTCTTTGGCTTGCCTTTTTCTTGAAACATCTGACTTCTTTTGACAAAGCATAGTGATGGTCCCATCGTTTTCTGGTTCTTCTTTCTGAAGGTTAATTTCCCACAAGACAGAGTTGCTGGGTCTGGCATTAAGGAAGGAGACATTCTTCTTTATCACTGCTCTGTGAGAAACAAGAGAAAAGACAAATTAAGTTATGGCTTAATTGTTGTTTAAAAAAGATTAGGTCATTCCAGTAGTTATAGTAGATCTATTGGTCCCTAGAGAAAAATAATTCTCTTGAAGTGATAAATATTAGACTTTCCATTTATTCATTTTAAGATTATATAAAATCATATAAGAATGACAGTGAATGTATCATGCTTATAATGTGAATTCAGTGTTCAATATTAAATAAAATAGACATTTTGTCTCTTTGGCAGTAGAATATTGGATTCCAGAAGAGAATGGAAAATCACCTAATTTCTGAAAAACAATTTTAAAATTAGTGCTACTGGGGAGGGTAAAGTGAAATACCTGGTCTCTTTTCAAGGTGAAGACATTTTTGAGAAACACAACCACACCCCATGAGGGTGAAAACATGCAGTATACATACAACAAATGAGTCTCTGTGTGTTTTTCTTTATGTGTGTCTACACACATTCCTATTTATTACTTTCAAGCTTTAAATCTCTGTGGTATACTTACTGCAGGGAAGTCAATAAATTATTTAAGAATTGCTGTGTGGTTTTGTCCTTTGAGAATAGCTCCTGACCAAATGAATAACCAGATCAGTGTATTAGTCAACATCCTTAACTACCAAACTCAGACGAGACCCAGTTTCTCTGATCTTACTATCAATGGAAAGTGAATCTCTCTTCACAATTATTTAAACTTTATCAAATTAGCAATATCCTCAATAAAAGCTATTGCAAAATTGAAAACACAAGAATCAAATTATTATTTTCGTGTGAAACATATATTTGTTATGAAAGTGTAGTGGTTAGTGTTCTTGATCTGCAACTGGTAGATTGTGGCCCAGGTGAGTCATGGGTATTGTAACATTAGGCAAAGTCCTACTCTCAGACTGTTTCATTTTTACAGCTGGGTATTTTACTGGATAAAGATATACAGTATGTCACTATCGACTAAAACAAATACATTAATATATAATAGACAAATATATGAATCTAATACAGTATTCATATGTTGGTATCTATATAAGTTATATATGTATATATTATGTCAAAATACAGCAAAATGTCAAAAAGTTACCTAAGACAATACAGCATAGAATCAATGAACAAATGCAGGATAGAGCATAAGATCACAGACATAAGCTAAACAATTAAGAAATCAATCCAGTACAAGATGCACAACTGCAGAAATTAAGATGCTGCATTCCAATGCATTATACTAGAATGGCAAACATGAGCAAAACAGAGTTCCAGACATGCGTATAGTATGTTCGGATCTTGTAGTGTTGGTGACAGGGTATAAGCTGCAGAGCAGAGATACAGATTGTAGGGTCTGCAGGGCTAGTCTGAATAGGGACATTCTGAGGAGGTGGTAAGAGACATTCATTTAACAAGTTCAAACAAAGATTCACATATTGGCAGGTGAATAAGTAAGCTAGAGTCATTGATATGAATGGATGGTTGTTCTGTTTGATATGTATCTTTCAGAGGCTGAGACAGGACCTCAGGGAATGCTCAATTAGAAAGCTCCAATTCAGGCAACTTGTTTGGTATTCATTAAGGCTGCTGGCCCTTTGTTCTTGTCGAAGAGACAATTTATTTATACTAATGGTTCCATGCTCTTCTGGCCCCTAATTTGTTAAGAATAAGTTTTATCTAATCGAGCTTCAGACTGGCACTGAGCAGAGGTGGCAAGGGACCCAGCTGCTGATCCCACACACACTCTCCAAATTAAAGGTAAACAGATCACTAATTCGCAAATAGTGGGCCCATTCTGTGAAATTATGCGCTTGAGTGCGTATTGGAGAAAATCAATACATAAAAGGGCCCACGTCTGTTTACAATTGATCTTGAAAAAGAGTTTATTACATACCAGTAATTTCTGCAAAGATCTTTTTTAAAAGTCTCGCTTCTGAATTGTTTTTTCTATCTCAGACTGAATCCATCTAGGCCACAGGATATTGAAATGGATATTCTGCCTAGACAGGTTGCATGTCATGAGAGTAATCCCTGATTTGTCACATGACTGTCCATACTACGTACTGTAGCCTTATTGCTGGAACACATGACTAAATATCCTACACAGTATGTACAAAATCCACCCCTGACGTGTACGATTCAGGAGTTAAATAAGAGGAGGTATGTAGCCAACAGGGGTCAAGGCTCATACAATTTGACACATACAATTTTTAGCACTTCCTAGTGTCTTTCTGTTGAACATGAAAATAAAATCTTCTGGATTTTGCTTTCCACTGATTCCCAATGCATTTAATATTCTCAAGGTGCAGACCATGCTATCTATCAAGAAATTCCAATCCACTGTCCCTAAGTAATTAATTGTCCCTAAACTACCTCAGGAAACAATATTACAGTCAACATTCTTCTCCTGAGTCATGGTCATGATCCCTTTAAAGAAGTACCATAAGATTCAATTCACACATCTTCACACTTACAGTACACTCACAGATACAGTACCTACATAAAATAGAATGATAAAAAGCAAACACTTCTATCGTGTCTTTATATATTAATGTGTCTTCGTTTACCAGCGAAAATGTTGTCTTGGAAACAAGCTTCTAACTTAATTTATGCACATTTAATACCCCTTATTATTAGTATTATTTTACAATTGTGTCAAATGTACATGATAAATGCTAATCAGTGTACAACAAGTACTGTATAAATAAAATACAGTGAGATAATAATACGGTTAAGGCTCACTCAATTTCTGTATCACTCAATGTAAAGAAATGCTTTTGTATGCAAAAAGTTCTTTCAGTGTCCTTCGTCATACTGTAAGCGATACATAAATGTCAGTCTTCACTACGGAAAATGTTTATAATGACAAGATGAAGAAATCATGAACTGGAGTCTTTAATTAAACTAGGAAATGAACTGAATGTTTCCTGACAGAGGGAAAGCATTTGACTAAAATTCAGGAACGATAATGGAAATAAATGGTAACGAGAATCATTTTGCGGCAACTGGATTTTAGGTGTGCAGTTATGTAAATTGGGCACTTGAGACATCTGCAAGCATACATTTTCTTGGCGGAAAGTAAATTGAAAATAGAAGAATCAGAATTGGAATTGCCTTGAGTTCTCTAATTCCCACTTTTGAGATTTGTAAAGACCAAATAAATGGGAAACAAAAAGATCAACTTCATCAATTCTCCTCAAAAGCCTATTTTATTTGTTTGAGAATAATGCCTCAGATGATTTATAGCCAGAAAAATTGGAGGGGAGGCACAATCTATTTGGAGATTTTTATATTTTGTAATTGTTTCTCTGCATCTCTTCAATATCATCAACACATTTTATTCTCACTCATTTAAATCTGTTATGACACTGACACCCTGCAAACCAAATACGAAGGAGTGTAGGGCTTATTAAACAGATGATCATTAGGAAAAGAGTAATTATAACAACAGAAATTATGCACTACTCATTCCCAGAAGTGCAGTGCATCACAAATGTAATATTTTTACTTAATCACTTAGCAATGTTTTGTTGTTTTATCCCTGAATCCTCCAATAAACATTCAAATAGTACAATGCCATCTTGCACATTATTGTTCTCTGAGGGAGGAGACGTAATCTGAAAAATTAAGCACCAATCTGATGCAAAGCAAAGTCCCAGTTGAAACGAAGAAAGAAGTTTCTAGGGCAGCATTGACACCCCAGAATAGAATGCAATAGTCTCATCTGGTGTGACAGAAGTCTGAGATCTTAAATATATATGTTTAACAACATATCATTTCCTAATATCTCTATATAAAAGAAGCCCTGTCTGGCCTCTGTAAAATAATTGTACTTCAGAAGTCATCAAGTGAGCTGTGCCATGTTCTGCCTTGATTTCCTGCAATCCTGCAAGATAAAATATTATGAAACTCTTTACCTTCATTTCCTACAGGGTGCACATACACCACAGATTGGGAAGCCTGTGATGTGCATGCACACTGTATGCACTCTATACATCCTGTTGGAACAGTACAAACTGTCCTAACTCTGGCATGCATGACCAAGGCCAGGAACAGGACTCCGGTACACAGCTGGAAAGAACTGCAAACGACACAAGTTAAGCCAATAAATTGCACAGAAAGTGACAGACATTCTTACTCAGTGCTGGTCTCAATGGCAAAAGAAGAAGAATAGTGCTAAGGGATGCTGTCAGTACACTACTTACATTACATGTTATGCAATACCATGTTCTCAGTGTCATCCAAAATGCAGCATTTGTGCTGCAAAGAGTTCATTTACTAAATGCACCCATCACGTTAAATTCAGGTAAAGTATCTTGACTATACCAGTAATGGAACAAAGAACCCTAGATCATGTTGGCAAATACGTACTTTTGGTTTTAGTACAAATACATCTTTCCAACAAATATTCTGTTTAGCAGTGTGGTGTGATGAGATCCAAACTGAGAATACAACTCCTTATCCCCACATTCCTACTACCAGTGACAGGGGCTACATTGCTAAAATGCTTATTTCAACCATTTGTTAAAATTACTTTCTGAAGATGATTTATGAAAATAAATACATTTTTAAAGCATGTAGATCAGCTTACATCAAGTTTTTTTGTTATTAAATAGTGATTTTATCTTTTGAGCAAGCCACCTTTTATCAACAGCTGTCTGAAGTAACATTCATTTATAATCTGAATATGTTGATTAAGCTGTCTGAGCAGCACATCAGCGTTGGTTTCAAAAGAAGTTGGAAGTTGAAAATATCTCAATGTCCTCTCAGTCTATCAACATCAAAGCTTGCTCTACTGCAATAATAATAATAATAAGTGACTTTCTGACAATGGATAGAAATGACTGCCATGCAAGATCACACCAATTTCTTTCACAACTTTCCTTGCTTTTACTAAGTGCCTTGTTGTGTTGCAATTTGACATCATGCCTGTCACTTTCAGAAAGTGTTTTGTCAAGCAATGCAGAATACTTGGCAGTCTTACTACATAAGGAAATATTCCTTTCAT